GGACGATGCGGCCGCGGCGGATCAGCGAACGCGGGAGGCGGAGGTGACGGCGTGGCGCGAGGGTGACGGCAGCGGCCAAAGCTGCAGATAGAAGGCAGTGGCGGCGAGGGCGGCGGCGGCGCATCTCGGCGCATCTCGGCGTATCCGGGCTCGCCTCCTTGGGCGCCAGCTCGTGGTCTCCGTGCGCAAACGGGCAGCGCTGCCCCCGCTTGCACCGGTACTGCGCCCAGAGCGGACAGCGCTGCAGCTTGAGCCCGCGCGCCGGAGGCGGCGCCGCGCCCCAGCCGCCCTTGCCTCCACCGCCCTTGCCGCCTCCGCCCTTGCCGCCGCCGCCGCTCCAGCCGCCCTTGCCGCCGCCGCCCCACCCGCCCCTGCCACCGCCACCCTTGCCGCCGCCACGGCCCCTGCCGCCGCGGCCGCGCCCTTTGCCGGTGAACTCGACGGGAGAGACCCAGCGGTCCTCGGCGGGCGGCTCCTCGGCGGGCGGCTCCGCCGCCGCCGCCTGGCCCTCTCCGCCCTCTCCGCCAGCCGCCGCCGCGTACTCTCCTCCCGCCGCCGCGTACTGCGCCGCGTATGCCTGGTACTCGGGGCTGGCGTAGTACGCCTCCCAGTATGCGGCGTAGGCGGCGGCAGTGGCCTCGTCCATGGGAGGGGCCTCGGTCGGTGGCGGAGGAGGCGCGTCTTCGTCGGGTGGCGGAGGAGCGTCCATGACAACACCTTGAGGCGAGCCCCACCAGCGAGCGCAGAGAGAAACGGAGTGCCCACCTCCTGATGCTAGTTGCTAGATCTAATAGAGTCGGCCCAGAGGGGTGGTTGAGGGGTTGAGGGTTGAGGCCCCCCTCAACCATCTGGTTGACGGTTGAGGCCCCCCGTCAACCCTTTAGTTGAGGGTTGAGGCCTCCGGGGCCTATTCACAGCCTTGTTATGAGAAAGAAGAAAATACGTCCGATGGCGCTATGCGCTGGTATATGAGAGGTTGAGGTGCGAGCCCTGGAGGCCCTGGGGATGGGGGGAGACTACCCGCGGGCCTAGAAGGCCCGCGCGCAGGGGGGTGGGGCATTGAGACCGGTCATGAATGAGTGCGCGACACGCATGTTGCGAGCAGCGTTGTTGATGTTTTGCGGCTGCGCATCGCCACAGACGGCGGCGCGCGAGAGCTGTTGCGAGTGGTGCTGGACGAAGCCCCGGGCGCTGCCGGAGGCTGCGCCGTAGTCGGTGCGCGGTGCGGTCGACGGCGTCGGGCGCTGCCGACCTCTTTGGCGAAGTTGAAGATGATTCTCTTGGTTGGCGGCGCGATGCCGCCCTGGCTTTCGACGAGACAAATTTTGACGATTCCGTTCTTGACATGGAGCGCGTCGTAGTCTAGGTCGTAGTACTGTCCCTTGTGCTCTTTGACCCAGCCTTTGCCGGTCGCATGGACGACGAGGCACACTGTCAGGCCGTAGCACCGGGTCGGGGGGCGTGAGAGATAGGCGCGACCGTGCGGCGGCGCGGGTGATCGCTTACTTAGAGTACAACTCGGCTCTCGAAACTCTCGGTCCGCGTCCGGGTTTGAGTTCAAATAAATCAAAACGCGCAGCGCTCTAGGAGATGGGTAAACCCTGTCAGCAGAATCCTCCTACGGGGATGTACGTAAGAGCTACATACACTGAAAAAGGGACAGGTCCCCGCCCGTGCGATCTTTGTGCAGGGTTCTTTGTGTGGGTGTGGTCGGCGACTTCTCTAGCCGGCGTCGACGTCCTCCCGATGGGGACTAGCTTTGTCCCTCCCCAGGACGCGCAGAGGCAGCTGCGACCCCGCCGAGTGGACGGGCGCACACCGCGC